CTCTCTCTCTCTCTCTCTCTCTCTCTCTCTCTCTCTCTCTTTCTTGCTTTTAAAACTCGCTTTACTAGAAGCCGAGGTACCGTTCCGGCGGCTCTTTCTCTCTCTAGTAAAACACAACCGTTCATTTGTTCGTCGGCCCATCCATATTTCAGGCCGCTCACACGCTCTCCGTTGAGTGCTTGGCCACGATTATCTCGAACCAAATCTCATGCGATCCTTAGTGGATCACAAAATATGATTCTGTTCGTTCGTTCGTCGGTTATTTCGCTAGACATTTGTCCGCTCGCGATGCCGACATTATAATCCTTTTCTTTCTTAAGTAGGAACTTGTCTCTGCTAGGAACGTGCATTTAGTGCCAAACGTAGCCAATTGATTCTCAATCTAGTGCGCAAATCACATTCGGTTTTATTGCGAATTAATAATTGTACTCGAGATCTCATTTAGCGTACTCGGGCGTAAAACGCCGGCACCCACGAGTCGCGCGACCCAGATTATTTTTCGCCGACGAAAGTGGATCTGGTGGGAACAAGTAAAACACGATAGAGCTCGATCAGATTTGCTCGAATTAGGTGATACCTTCTCTTCACCCCAGCGAGTAGAACGAGACCATTATCTCGAGATGTTCCAGACTCGTTCGAATTCGCGCCACGCTTGCGTCATTGTTGATCTTCTCGAGCAACGCTGGCGCCGAGCTCGCGAATCATACTCAGGGAATATCTGAGAAAAATTTGCTCTTCTGGTCTAATCAATTTGACGACTCGAACGAAATTTTATTTGCAATTTAATTTTTGCGAGAATAAGAGTGGACAAAAAACATGAAGAGGGTAAAAGAAAACGTGCAGGAACATCCCGTGGGATCTCCGCGCGGGAAGGCTCGACGGCGAAATTCGCGTCACACGGTCCGCGGTTGGAGGGATATCTGGCGCTTCTGGAACACCCTACATGCATGCAATCAAAGTGTTCCAGTTTCTAATTTGGCGAATAGCGAACCGCGTTTCTTTGTGTGCGCTCTTCTCACTCGCTCTCCCGCTCGTGCGATAGTTGAAGCGATGTGCTGAATTCGATATCGTGCCGCTATTGTTGCGCGATGTTGCGATCAATACGCGACCCTTACGTCGCCGGATCTTTTCTTAATGCAGCTGTGCCTCAATCCACCGTCGTTGTGTGTATTCTCAATACTGCCTGTCCGACCGGTATATCTGCGCCGCTCCCTCACAACCAGTCATAATAACAAATAATACATCTAGATTTAACAATGCGATAGACAGAATTTCTCGTAGCAATCGTAATATTATTAGAAGCGCTCTAGATATTAATACAATCTAGCGGTGACGATGCTTCTTATCAATAAGTGTCTCTAAATGTGACTTACAACCCTTTTGATTGGCTTATAAGCACATTTGGAGGCACTTTTATCGACAAAAGAAACGTCACAAATAAAGGGCTAATACGTGCAGAGAAATCCACAAATAAATAATATTTACGAGGAAACGAGAAAAGATACCGCTAATGCTAACACGAACGCTATCTGTCCCATAACTTACGTGTAAAGCGATAGACACGAACATTCTTCTGCCAGCACGCATATGCATACAAAATACTTGGCCGCGGGTATCGCGTCATCGTACGGATATGTTTACTATATCTATGTGTACTATATCTATATGTATATACATATCTATATATGTATATATACAGTTCCTTTAAGATAATACCTGCTGGCTGTGCCGAGAGCGCGTTGACCTGATGGCCGATCGTTCCCAAGACGTTCTCTCTCTCTCTCCCTTCCTCTCCCTCTTTGTCTGCCATCTCCGTCTTTCTCAGCATCGGGCGGAAACGAGAACCTGAGAGCAACATTCAGGAGACGGAGAGAGTGAGAAGAGCTCAGCTCTTGAACCCAAACACAGGACGCAACGCGTTACGACTCACACGGGCTCGGCTCATTTCTCATCGTTTCATCCTTGGAATTTCGACCTGCCGGATTTTTCGGAACTCACGACGACGACGACGACGACGACGACGACGACGACGACGACGACGACCTCGGCCAATGTTGCCAAAGACGCGATATCGCAGCATTGTCTACATAGCAGATTCCTTCTGTTTACGACTGCACCTGCCATATTTTTGTTTTTCCTCGTCTCTTTCTCACTGATACGCTCGCGTACTCTTTTTGTTGCCTTCAACACTTTTTAGGAATGAACTAAAGATGGGCGAAATTGATTCACCGTTCGCGAAATAACACAGTCAGGAATTAGCACGAAGATTGGGAAATATTTGTCAGAGATTTCGAGATAAATAATGTTTGGCGTAGCCATTAAATTATCGCTTTTCCTGTAGTTTTTGCTATCTAGACTGCTTTTTCTTGCGAGTCTGCGAATTCCGCTCCGGTCAGGCTATAAAGATTGCGGAATTTATTGATACAAAACAGGAACGAGTTTCCTGAGGCTTGCGAGATTCCTCCTCGCTGTGACTTGGGCGGCTCGTTCCAACAAAAAGGAGATGTTAAGTCTCCAGTGCTAGAAAACCAGGAACGGTATTTCCGCTTTATTCCTCTCCATGGAGAAGCGCCAAGTATATTCGGGATAATCTGTTTCCTGTACGAGCTTTTTCGAAGTTGTAGCTTAACCGACATCGATTCGATGTCCGGCCGTGTGATCGCCACAGCGAATCCGCCGCAATATTTTTATTACGTTTGCAACAAATGAAGAGAGAGAGAGAGAGAGAGGGAGGGGAAATAGAAAACGGAAGAAAGAAACTGTCGTGATTGATGTGTGCGAAAATCAAGAACAGTTCCTCCGTCCCGTCAAAATTGGCGATTCGTGGTCTTCATCGCTGTGGAAAACAAGAAGAACGACACGCGCCAAAGTATCTCGCCATCGTCTACTAAATCGTCGGACAAGATCCTCAACAGGGAACGGCTGTAGCTGGCATCGACTCGATGACGTGGCCAATATCAGCTCAAATACGGTCGGCATACGATCGACGAGCGCTGGCGAGATCAGGCCGACGAGGCGGCATCGATTTCTCACGTAATATCGCGTGATGACCTATTTGTTTGGGGAAGTCGAAGGATAAATATCGCGATGTTCGATTTCGCGAAAGGAATTCGACTATATGAGAACGGGAATTGCGATATATGTACTTGCGGAATCGCAAGTGGAGTAAATATCGTCGCCAACAGTCCGCAACGTCGAACGCTGTTCTTTATTTCAATTGTATAAACAGTTATCGATTCAAGAAAGAAAAGACCGTCTCTTGGCGTTCTCCGATATATTTATTCGTCTTGTTGAAATTTCGCTCAAGTCGAAAATGCTCAATGTCTCTACGTGAGGACTGAAAGGTGTGTCGGTAATTCTAGGCGGATGCCCAAAAGAGAGAAAAATAATGCCGGACAGGCGCTCTACGATTATTATGCCGCATCTTTCGCGGATCCTTTCCATTATTCAACATTGTTCGCCGCCGTGACTTCCGTGCTCGCTGTTTTCGTATCTCACTTTATTTGTTCTCTTTATTAGGAGTCATTCTTCCAATGGTGCTTCGCTGTGGAGGAACCGGGATGTTACGGCGCTCTCGATCTGGCCGCGGGTACCTCGATCCTCTTTGTACCGAGGTTACCGCCCGAATATGCGATTTGGGAGGGCAAGCTGCATACTCTGGACGACTTCAAGAAGCGATACGGCGTGGACGAGGCTCGCTACACCGACGAGATTGCGCGCGTGCTGAAGGAAAAGCGAGCGCACCTTTTGCTCACATTGGTAAGTCGCGCTTGGGAACAGATGGACGCTCGTTGGCTCTCTGTGGCTTGCTGCTTTCCTGCTTGCCTGCCCGCTCCTCGAGCAGGGGAAAGTGCTCAACTTGGGGATTGTCTTGACCTGAGAACAATGCTCCGTCGTATGTCCCGTATCAAACGACTCTGTCCGTTCGACTGCGATTCCGGATTTCCTCGGTCTCCCACACGAAAATACGTGTGGAATCGGTCGGTCGCATTAAACGTGGGATACGGGACGATAGCCACGTCACTCTTTTTTTAATTGTACATAGTGCACAGGTAGAAGGATTTATATTTTAATATTGTATTACACAAAAAAAGATAATTGCGCACGATACGAGCGATTGATGAGACAGAGAACAAAGTTGATTCGCGAGAAGCGTTCCCAGGTTGAGCACCTTATTGCACACGCGCGTGTATGTGCGAATATGTGTGCGTGTCTCGCAATAAGCGATCCGCCACGGCATGCCTCGTGACGTTTACCTTCGCCTCCTTCGCGACTGTCTGCCTCTACAATGTGTCGAGAAAGTTGCGTCGGTCGGCTGGTTGGTTGCACGAGTCGCTTGTGTTAAGGCTGCTCCAGACGCTCTCCTTCGCCTTCTGAACATTTGGCGAATGCAAATGCGCTGCGTGTGAGCGCGCGTGCGCACACGTGCGTGCCCACGATGATAAATTTCACTGTATTGTCGTCTCCAATTAGAGCGCCCTCGAGCGCGCCTCATTTACGCGATGCGACGTCTGTCACGGCTCGGCGAATATTTGTCGAGGTGAAGGCGCATCGTCTGGTGTCGCCGGATGGCTTACCAATCCTGTTTTGTGCGGCGCGCTAAATGGATGTTGCAAAAATCCCGTGGAAACACTCCACGCTCCTTTAAATTCCGCCCTGTTGCTACGCGGATTAGAATTACGGTTGATCCAGCAGAATCTCAGAATACGCTTCTCGGGCTCGGCTCTGCCCGACGACGCGTTCGTTTACCAAACAGCGTGTAAATATACTGGGCGTTTGTTCGCTGTGTTCTATCGTAATTTCACTATCGCGTAGACGGGAAAAGAAAACGTTTGGTTCGGATAAAGCAAACTTTTGATTAAATACGAACGAACCAGAAATTCCGGTAACATAAACCGGAATTTTCGTCCATCTTTCACCAGAAATTGTTTGATCCAGTCAAACTTTTTCTTCCCATATACTGTCGCGATTATAAATTTTCTGGAACAATATACTCTCGAAGAAACAATGAAGAAGAAATCAAATGACTTATTTTTACTTTTATATACTGCTCGTGTACCGTATGCCGCTCGGTTCTTCAATTCGAACGGTTTAATTAAAATTGTCCGTCGTTGGAAGCTGTAAAAATAGCAGCGGTCCGGCTCAAAGCATCAAAGCTTACAGAAAAAAAGAACTAAAAGGTTTAGGTAAATCGCGCGCCACACTTTATTTCCCGAGCTCGACGAGCGTGATAAGCGATAAAGCATGAGAATACGGAATATCTGCCGCATCTGCAACCTCGTGGTGCGCAGTGGCAACTGATTCGCGACGATTTGCATAGCTCACTGCTTCGCTCCGACATCGCGTTTATAGCTCGGCGCTGAAAAATAACCGATGAATTTTTCAACCGGTCGTTATCTAACCGGCGTCAATTTGTTTCCAACCACGGTGTATCAATGACAACGTAACTGGGTGAGCGCGGTGTTACGAGACACCCGAAATATACGGGCGCGCTACGTGCGCGGAATGCTTATCTGATAGTGCGACACACCGCAAATAGATTTTACGTCAACTCAAAAAGATAGGGCCGGCCTCATATCGCGGTCAAATGTGCCACATTGAGGAATACTTTCGGCACCCGGAGCCGAAATGCGTTCGGACCGCGTCGCTGATAAAGTTCGAATCATACGATTTCAGTCTTTTTACATGCATGTTGATTCGCAGTTCAGCTTACCGCATGAATCGCTGTCGTGTATTGAGAGATTCATGCGCTTATATCCAGTGAACTTATCAGTGAGCAGTCACTGCATGCATCTAGCTAGCATTTGTATGTCAGAAGGCATGAAGTCGTGTGATATTTCAGCTTAACGCCTGACAGACGCTCGTTTGTTGAATTTTCTGAACGCAAAGCGATCTCGACGGAGGGCTTTACGGATACGTGGCAATTACGTAAATCGTGGGAGTCGCGAGAGGATTTTCCCGTTGTTAGGAAAAATGTGTGAATCCCGTGTGTCGTTGCGCGTCGCCTCGGCGAAAGCTGTCGTTCCTCGCGACGATTTTCGTTCCGCACCAGCATTGAAATCTGCCGGCGAACAGCTCAGTCGAATTGTCCTTGACACCGATAACGATAGGGCTTTTAGCTGTGCGATCGTGCCGAGGTAAATTGCGGCCAATTTCCTAAGATCGGCCACGGCGACACCTCGTCGTCGAGAATCGCATTTTTCTAAGCGGCGTTTCTCTGGGCCGCGACCTTTTGCCTTAAACTTGTCGAATTGAGAAAAGAAAACACCTATTCGCGCATTATCATAGAAAATCATATTCACACAGAAATATCGTTCTACAGCTGAAAAAAGCGATCAGTTTACTTCCCTTCTTTTGAATACTTGTTATCTTCAACAGAAAATATTTTCTCGATAATAGTCTTCAAATACACTCGTCACAAATTTCAGAAAGCACATTATCACGTATTCAAAGGAAGAATTCATTATCTTTACGTATATTTTATACAAAATATATTACAAAGCTTCATCGTAGAAAAAGTTGGTTATGCAGTAAGCAAACTGGATTTTTGTTGCGATTCAACATTCTTGATTGTAATACTAAAATCACCAAGATTCAGAATATGTTTTGAATAAGTTTTATGCTTACAATAAACTTGTGAAATATTTGTAGATGTGCAAGCTTATAAAATGCTTGAAACTTGTAAACGTTTACTAGTACGCAGCACATATTATTTTACGTGTATAGATACATCGTAGAATTTGACAAACGTGAGACGAGACTTTTGCATTTTGTTTCACATTTTCGCTGATCAAACGCGCATCTGCGAAAATGCCCGTTCCGTTGTGACGCGGAAACGACTCATAAAATATTCATTCGAATTCGTTTACATATTTTTCGGTTGACTCAGAAGCATATTTCGAGGGTGTCGCTGCCGTGTAAAGTTTCGCAGTATTGACACACATATCCGTCCATTCCGATTGTCGTCGTTTACGTTCCTACGCTGCGCGAGCGATCGTTGTGTGTCGCGCTTGTAAAGATATTGGGCGAATTCACGGAACTAATTTTGCTAATGCGGCGGGAACACGCAATTTAGAGCAATTTGGGGCAATTTAAAGCGTTTCGATTCTCTCGCGGCGCGCAAACCGGACGATTCTGACGATTCGCATGGCTTACGCGAAGAGCAGGAAATTCTCCGCGAAGCGTCAGCCACGGAGAGATGTTTTCTGGAAGTCATGTCGCGCGATTATTCATCAACTTGTGGCTTATCGAACGGTGTTGTTGCCGTGTCGCGTATGTCGCCGTGTTTTTCGTTCGGTCAGGCAAGGATAATAGACGAATGCGCTGTCGATACGAGTCCGGCAAAATCAAATCGATGGAAAACGCGAGCTCGCGGATGTGTGCGCCGATGGTGTTGCTAGAAATCGCAACTCATCGTACAGAGAACCAATTCTACACGCGGTTTTTTCATTACAAATGCACACGAGACGAAACGACCGACGTGATAACGTGGATAAATCGTATTGACATAATTTCTACTAAAAAAAAAAAGAAAAGAAAAATAGAAGGAAACATCGATCGATATAAATGTGCATTTACTGAGCTCGCTTTAAGCGACGAAAATGGGTTGTTTCGTCTCGCGCGCAAGTTATCCGCGGCGACTGAGCGAAGAAGTTAAGCGAGGGTGAGTTTCGCTATTTCTACTATTTGCTAATGGGTTGAGGACTCGTTTCCAGACTGGCTGGTTCGTCCGTTAGCACAAAGACGCCGAGTAGTTCTGGCTCGTGCCGCCGTGGACTCCGGCGGCCTTGAATCATCTCCCTATTTCCAGTGCCGTTCGATAAATCGGATCGTCGCGAAACTCACAGGGAAAATCAATATTTGATAGCTTCGTAGAAAGTATTATTTTGCTGAAACGACTGCAGAGGCGACTGACATTGAATAAGATCGATGCCCGGCGACTTCGTTGTAAGCGTTCGTCTCGTCCTATTTTGAAATGTGCAACAATCAAATGCTCAATGTGTAAGAGAGATCAGGATCGACATTGCAGAATTCGTTTCCTACCAGTTTTATCGACACGCGACGCGCAAACGGCAATTTCGAGGCCTTGTATTATTTTTCATACACGATCATTGTTTACGTCATCGTTCAAGTTATACGAACATATAAACATTTATGGCGGCATTATAGAATTTGATATTTTTTTCATCTCATTATTTTCTCCGCATGTTATCGTTCGGCCGACTTTTTTAACATTGACTTTTTCCGAGATGGATCAAGGACGCGGATTTTTAATCGTGCTCGAAAGGCGCAGAAGCCGTGTCGGCCAGTTTTGTCAAGTATAAACTTTACGTAACGTTTCACGTAATCGAGAGCTCTCCCCCATATTTCAGAGCGCGACACTCAACCTTTGATCTAGTTTATTTCTGAAGATCAACGCAGTAACGTTCGTATAATGCAAGATGCGTGAAATCAAGTGATCCCAATCGCAACTTGCGATGATTACGCGACTCTTATCTCTCTCATTTCATTAAGATGGGAACGAGAGAGGACTAATTACCGTTAAATCTAACGACATTAAATATCCATTGGCGCTAGTATACGAATTAGTTTGGCGCTTTAATCAATAATCACGCCGTGAAATATTGTTTGCAAACAATACTTCCGAAGCCGATTGCCGCTCGATAACGCATGACAGAGACGATTTAATGACCGATGAGTAACAGTGGAAACAGAGTGATTCATACCGTTGGGAAAACATTACTAAACCCACGTGAATATCGTATACGCGTGTATATTGTCGCAGCGGAAACTGGAAATGGCGTGGCCTGCGTTGCAACGTTGGCGGGAAGACTAAATTCCCGCTTGTCAGAGCTCAAGTAAAATTGAACAATTTTCAAGCTGAGAACGTAGTTCGGATGGATAAGACTGGACTGGATTCCGACACGTGGAATTTATCGCGTCCAAAGAAGTAGTCGCGTTAGCAAGAGACAAGCAAGGTCGGTATCTTTGACACGATATGCGTACACAATTGATTATCTGAAATTCGCTACCGTGGAAATTCGCGTCTCGTAACTACGGTACTGTTGTCGCAAGCGAGTGTAGCGATAGCCGTACGGTCGATATCAGCAGTTGTACTGATAGACGATGTACGTCGTGTCTGCATGGCAAATGAGACAAGTTTGGGAACTATAGGGTCACTGACGTTACATTGTGATCCCGGCCAGACGCAAGATTAATGCCGAGGTTCAAGCTTGGCAGAAATAGGTACGGGTATAATAATCGACGACGAGCGGGTCACAATGCAACCTTTCATGCTTAGTAACTGTATTGCCTGACAAACTTACGCGCGCACGTACGCACGCACGCACGCACGCACGCACGCACGCACGCACGCACTCATGCACGTGTAACGTCCAAGCTTTGTGCGAAGATACAGTTACGCGTGTCACAGGATACGATATATAGCTATATTTACAATATTGATAAATACGCTCGTATGTTTGACCTTTGTAATACAATTTATGTAATAACCGCCACAAAGTAAAAACACATCAATATTAATGTCGATCGGAAGAGAGAACGTGCGCGCTTTATATTAGCTATTTTGCAAGGATCAACATATCTGAGTAGATTTAAATCAGTCGTAAATATGCGAGCCATGTATGTGTATTTTTTGTTATTATACTAACGAGAGAGACAGAGAGAGAAAGAGTGAGATTGCGAATTGTCACGATATCAAGAATCATGATCGCCTGTTCTCAGTGATGACGTGTTTGGCCTGTTCATTGGTAAAGAGCGACTTCGCCGTTACATCAGCTTTATACCAGCCCCGATGCTGTCAGTAGTGACAAGTATTAGTCTCTCGCAGGCAACCTATGTAACCCAGCGCTGTCCGCGACTCTAATTACGATCACATTGCAAACACGTATTTTTGCTGTCGCGTATTTTTATCGACACGTGCGCGCGTATTGCGCGACCTTTTGCAATATCCGATGTAACAAATGCCGACGTCGGCGCGCGTTCATGGCCGTGTTGCTTGCCACTGCGCGTTCGAGCCGATCGAATATTTTCATCGGCTAGTCAGCGGAAAATGATTAATGTTCTCTCTAATGTCGCAGACGTATGCGCATAAGCGCGTCCTAACCGGCGTCATTATGCGGTGTTTCATGACACGTATCGCGTGAAAATCAACTTTACTTTCTAACGAGTAGTCTCTCGTCGGACGCGATGTTGACGTGCGGTTACCGAGCACTCGATTTTTAACAGTGATATCGAGCAACGGACGGGCAAAACGCTTATCATTTTTCGGTTCTAAGAATGCCCGTGTGCCGTGTGGATACACTCAGGCGTTATCAATGACCTCAGGTATCCAGATATTCGGAAACAAACGCTATTCACGAGCGGCTCGTATCGGTAACGACACATTACGAATACACGCTAATCGTTATTATTCATCGTTATTATTCATCGACCAAAACACGGCGTCATCACGCGCGCATATTCCACGAGACGGTAGAAATCGATGACACAGAAACGTTCGTTCCGTTTCCGTTGCCGGATGCAAAATGCTTTCTCTATTCCAACTTGGATCGGTAGTATTACGTAAGGTCACTTTTACTTTGACCCGCGGTATCACATATGTCACATTGTGTGTGTCCAAGCACAATACTGATTCGTGATGATCGTTGTTTTGCTTCTTCTCTTTGCAGAGTGGCAGAAACAGCGACAGCGGATTGTTGTCGCGCGAATTGGTTTTCGACGGCATCGACGAGTAAGTATAAAAAAAGTGAATCATATCAGTCGCGGATATGGCGTGACTGGCAAATGCGAGCTAATTTCCAACTTTTTATCGTAGATTCAAGGTGAACAAATCCATCTTGTACCCGGAAATATGTGAGTGGTGAGTATAGGTATTAATTGCTTGTTAGCTGCGTAATGACTGCAAAAAGGTCCCTTAATTTTCACTGCTGAACGCAGGAGAGAATAATGAGGAGATGATAATGTTCGCAGTTAAATATGAATATCAAATTATATCCAATTAGAATAACGTATATGAAACGTACATTAATTGACTAAATAAGTGTAATGAATATATTAAATTAATTATTAGCGCGATATAATGTAGTATAACTTGCGTGATTAATTAATCTCATTAATATAACACACGTGGAATGCGAAATGCGTGACTATATTCCAGAAAATGATCATTCTCAACGCGCTTAGTTTTTGTTATTCATCGTGTGTCAATTACGCGAAGGGATCAGTGTCGCCATCGGCTGGTCGACTCATGCAAGCGGCACACGTCACCGCATCGGTATACTTCTGACAACTTTCAAGTGGCTCAAAATACCAATTACATGTTCGTGTCGTTCCACATTTTATACATTTGTTTTTGCTTTTTAATAATTAAGAGAAGATTTTTTTCTTCTTCGTGTTCGACGACATCGTGATTATAACATTTGGATTAACGTTTTATAATACTTCCGAGCATGACAATTGTCTTTAACGATGTTTCTCAAGGAAATTATTAAATATCAATAACGCGATACAATGCGGAAAGGTAAAAGAAAGAAAATTCACTACATCGTACTACGCATTCGGATTGTATTCCCAACCCTGTTATTGTAGATGATAATCTCGAGCCGTGTGTACTGGGGAAAGTTTCTCACGAGAGCATTTATGCAACCACGTAGTCTGACGTCGAAATTTCAAAAGAGACTCTTCGAGTCGAGCACGCATGATCCGAGCGGAACACAATTGCTTCAGACGACAATTTTTGTACAAGAAGGCACGTACATACGAGAAGTTCCTGTGATAGTCCGAAGGATTACCGATGTCGAGGCTCTTTTCGAGAATAAAAGCAAAAAACCCGTTGAATCGTTAGTGCCAAGTCAGTACTTCAGTATACTTGGGAAAGATAAAAAGCAGAAGGAAAATGTCTCTTCTACCGGCGACACATCGGTGATGAAAAAAGATCCGTTAAAGCAAAGCATCAGTATAGAAACCGACGAAGGTACAGCGATACTTTTCCACTCCGGCATCGAACGTCTGAAAAACACAGACGCGGAGCGGCTTCTACATGCGATCACTTCGGAGAACATGGATAAAGAAACTAATTCTTTATTGAAGACCGAGATAGCCGATGAGATAAACTGCCGGATAGCACTTCAAAGTTTAAGGAAGATTATAGAGTTGGAAAACGGTTGGCACGCGTACCGGAAAGCTCTGTCGAGCGAGCGATCATTTGCGGAAGCCGTCGACAGGGACGCTATTTTGCGGCAACTTGTAAATCTAATTGTCAAGAGTAAAGACAACGAGGTAATATTGCAAGGTCTCCGAGCATTGAAGAGAGACAGATTCAGCCCGACGAAAAATATTTACAAAGACTGGATGTGCAAAGAGGCTACGATTAGAGTCGCGGATGGGAATCTCACGATTTCGCAGCTGATCGGACTAGTGAAGATCCTGTCTTCTTACAAAGACCCCAAGTACAGAAACTACATCGACGTGCTGTGGGTAGGTTTAGCGTGCAGAGAGCGAGATATCAAGCCGGATCTGCTGGTACCGTTATTCAAGTCGCTCAAGTACTTCCGGCAGAGCAAGAATATGGTAGAAATTATTCTGGAGAGAAAACTTTCGGAGCAGTGGTTGAGGTTGAACGGTTCCCAGATGGCTGATATACTGGATTGCTATCACGGGAAGGAGCATTCGAGATGCCTATTGAGCGCCAGTAAGTGGGCGAGCGTGAGTATGACCAGTTCGACCGAGAGGAATCTCGCCGATTTTATTCGTAGTTTACACACGAAGAACTATATCGACGAGAACGTGGAACAGGCATTGGAAAGATACGTAACGGTTCGGGGTGCTGAGATGAAGGATGCCAATTTAGTAGCCACCATTATGGATTACTGCAAAGGTTTAAAAGTGAGAAACCCACGTATTCTCGCCGAATGCAGCAGATACTTTGTGAGAAACGGGATGGAAATTTCGCCGTCTTTATTGTCTTCCATACTTACGCCGTTTGGCTCATTGAACATTGAGCCACCAGACTCGACGGTATTTTGGAAGACGTTTGACGAAGTGTTATCCGTGAAATTCGCAGACTTAAAACTGAGCGATACTTTAGATATTCTTCTCTCTTGCACGTATCTTGAAAGATATCCCATCAAGTTCTTAGATAAAGTTTTCAGTTCGTATCTTCTGAATAGGCTACAAATCCAAAGAGACGCGCCTATCATCAATCGCTTGAAGACCAAATTGATATTATTCGACACAACCATGTCCTTAGAATGTAAAGATTATCAGGGCAGTCCGATCAACATTGACAGAAGTACAAAGTTGTTGAGCGTGGACACGAGAATTAGGAGTATCGTTAATCGAATATACAAGCCGTTAGGACGCTTAGTAGGTGGAGAACACAAGTTAAGCAGGAGTGTTATTCTAAGCAGATTACCCCTCATAAATTTTTACATTCCGGACATTTTAATTCATCCGCTCGTGAAGTCGTCGCCTGTTTTCAATTTGAATCTGCATAAAAAGAGAAACATCAATACCGCGATCTTGATACATTTGCCCGAGTATTATTGCTGGAACAGTCGACATCTGATAGGATCGCAGATTATGAGGAAGAGGCAAATGAGAAAACTAGGTTTTCGAGTAGCGTACTTAGATTACACGAGACTGACGAAACTCGCGAATCAAGACGACAAATTGATGTCTTACTTGTCGCAAAGCCTAGACTCCGTCGAAGATGCCTCATAAGCTGTTTCACGCGTTTACAGATTTACGGACTGAGATCACGATTAAACGAAGTGCAATACTCCCGTCGTTTTTTAACAATAGAATTAAAGAAAAACCGTGAGACATTGTACATCGAACGAAATAAATATCTCTACGTAAAAATTGACAACTGTTTGTGTGCTTTTAATAATGTGGTTTTCATACATTTTTCTTTTTGCTTTTTACAGTCGAGTGATAAAGTCACCAGCAGAGATTGAAGTACTGCGATACGTATGTAAGATAAGCTCGGATGCGCATAAGATTCTAATGCGTACCATGCGTCCTGGAATGGTAGAGTATCAAGCGGAATCCGCGTTCTCTCATTATGTATACTCCACGGGAGGATGCAGACATGTGTCTTACACATGCATCTGCGGATCTGGACACAATTCATCCATATTGCACTACGGCCATGCCGGCGCTCCGAATAATAAAGTTATAGAAGATGGAGATATGTGGTAAGAGAGATCCCCTTAAGAAATTAAGAAATCATTTTCCACTCCACAAGTTCTAAGTAAACATATCCTCTGTAATTGGAGGCATGCGTGTTGCGTAATCGTCCCTTTTGTCACGCACAGCTTGTTCGACATGGGCGGAAACTACTGCGGATATGCGGCTGACATCACATGCAGTTTCCCGATCAACGGCAAGTTCACCGAGGATCAAAAACTGATCTACAACGCGGTGCTGAAAGCGCGCGACGCGGTGATTGCGGCCGCGAAGCCGGGAGTCGCTTGGACGGACATGCATTTGTTGGCAAACCGAGTGATGTTGACGTCGTTGAAGGCGGGCGGATTACTGGTGGGCGATGTCGAGGATATGATAAAAGCGGGTCTAAACGAGGTCTTTCAGCCGCATGGACTAGGCCATCTGTTGGGTTTGGATGTCCACGACGTCGGTGGATATCTACCGAATCATCCTGAACGTCCCAAAGAACCGGGACTAAGAAAATTGAGGACTTCTCGCATTTTACTCGCTGGAATGTTTCTCACGGTAGAACCGGGTTGTTATTTCGTGGATTGTGTAAGTATAAAAATAATTAATGTATCATTTCTATGACAAATTGATGATTTGATCTAACGTGGAGTTATTTTTGTTGCAGTTGCTCGACGCTGCTCTGGCCAATCCTGATCAAGCAAAGTTCCTCGTGGCAGAACAGTTGCAAAGGTTCCGCGGTTTTGGTGGCGTCAGAATTGAAGACGACGTTCTTATAACGGAGACGGGAGTGGAAAACCTGACTGACGTACCGCGCACGTGAGCATTCGTCTTGCACGTATAAATTACCATAAAAAATTGATCAAATGTTGTGATGTTTTATTTATTTGTTTCAGGGTCGAAGAGATAGAGGAGGAGATGCAACGTAAATAATTGTGAGTTTGCAATGGAACACTTCTGAGAAAGTTGACACTTATGCCTATTACTAAATATATATATATATATATATATATATATATATATATATATATATATATATATATATATATATGTGTGTGTGGTGTGTATATATAATTTTTTTTTTTATACGTATCGAATATCTACGTAACATTATGATATTGTGATATTAACATATTGTGATAGAAAAAGATATATTCCTACAACTTCTCTTATAAGAGAGCATGTATTTTTCTACCGACTGTCATTATTGTACGTAATTGTAACGAATAAAACGAAAGTTTGTGAGACGGCATGACACGTCGCTTCACCATCGGCGGCATCGTGATACGTTAGATCGATATCTTTGTTTGTCGCGTATGTAAAATAACATTTTGTAAGCTCAGTTGTAAAGGTGCCGCGCTAATCATGTAGACAGCTAGATTTAAGATCACCGCGAAAGCCGCTCGTTTCTCGGTTGACGCCCTGTCACGAAGCAGTCTCGATGGCTTCGCGCGCTAGCGTCGGAATTGAGAGTAATTTTAAGTTCAAGCACGCCAACGTCATGATCCAGCGGATTAGGAATAAATGCGGAGCGCATGGATAGTGTTATCGCGAGAAGCACAGCCTTCGTGCCGTTTCGTTGGCCGGATAAAAGTTAACGCGCGCCGACTATATCCTCACGAGCGCGGTATCGCGCGTCCACTTGGACGGAACCTAAACGAACCTAACCGAACGCGGGTATTATCGTGCGTGAGCTCGCCGGCGCTTTACAGTTGCGTGACCGACGTGTACGCGCGCGGTGCATGCCGCGATAGGCACGCGAAACATTAACTAGCGGCGCTCTCTCTCTCTCTCTCTCTTTCTCTCCTCCTCTCCTCTCTCTCTCCTCTCTCTCTCTCTCTCTCTCCTCTCTCTCTCTCTTTTTCTCTCTTTCTGTCTCTCTCTCTCTCTCTCTCTCTCTCTCTCTCTCTCTCTCTCTCTCTCTCTCT